AAGGTGCTTTTCCAAGAGGCAATTGGACTTTCTGGTTTTTCTGGTTTGCTTCAGCTGAAGAAGCTTCTTGAATGAGAAGCCAAACGTCTTCAAAGAAAAAAAAAACCACAGAAAGTCTAGCGGCCTCTTGAAAAAGCACCTTTGGGACAACTATGATCTGGATCAGGGGTCTCCAACCTTGGCAACTTTAAGACTTGTGGACTTCAAGTCTTAAAGTTGCCACGGTTGGAGCCCCCTGATCTGGATGACTGAAAATCTCCACAGACAATCTCTCCGAGGTGCACTGGTTGGTGTACTCCAGCCCCAAAGAAGCGGCCCTTTGAAAATGGAGTCTGCGCCTCGAAGGGCCAGCTTACCGATCCCGCAGCTTTTCGCCCCGAAGGCCCAGCGAGGTCATCTCGGCTCGCTTCACAGCCACCCCCCGGCAGGATTTGACCGGGTAGATGAAGAGAGCAGCCACCGTCCCCACCAGTTTTAGCCGCGGGCGGCTGCTTAGACGGCTCCGCTGCCAACGCCAGGCCGCGATCCCGAAGAAGAGAGCAGTGGAAATCCAGGCGAGCAGAAACAGAGGCAGCGGCAGCCCTGAGGAAGGGGAAAGGGCGGCGGAGCCAGCCATAGGGGCGTCTGCGAGGGAGAAGCGATCCTGCTCGCTGGGAGTGGTTCTCGGTCAGTGACTCTTGCAGGGTGGCCGTCAACCTTCTTTTCCCAATGGCGATGAAAAGCGGAAAAGGAGGGTCTCACTTCTGCTCTTTGCCCAAGCCATATAGGCCTCAGGTTAGAAGATAAGAGCTTCTCCTTGACCATATCTACACCGCTCTTCTCCTCCTTCATTAGAAGCTCAGGGCAGAAACAGCCTTGCAACCTCTGCCTTTTCTAGGCAGATGGTCATCTCGGCTCCAGGCAGAGATAAAATCAAGTGAACAAAGCAAAATAAGCCACAGGCGTTTGTTCAAGACAGCACTACACTGGTGGGTAGGCTGTCTTTTAAGAAAGGTTTGGGCACATTAAAAAAGGACTTTTCCAGGAGACAACTGGACTTTCTTGTTTTTTTGTTTTTTTCTTTGAAGACGCTTCACTTTTTATCCAAGAAGCTTCCTCAGCTCTGACAAGATAGTGGGAAATGGAATCCATCCTTCAGAGCTGAAGAAGTTTCTTGGATGAGAAGTGAAGCGTCTTCAAAGAAAAAAACAAGGAAGTCCAGTTGGCTCCTGAAAAAACACCTTTGACCATGACCTGGATAACTGAGAATTTCTACAGACAATTAAAGGATGGTCACTGGGGACTAAATTTGCAGAAGAGTAAAGAAACTGGGAATGCATTGATCCTTGAAAAAAAAGAACCATGGGGTGGCATATAGTTTTTGTGGCATCTGTGACAAAAATTACAGTATAATACACACACACACACATACACACACGTATGTATGTATATATGGCATGGCCTACATGCATGTGGGATTACTTTACCAGCATCAAAAAGGCTGATTTTTCAATTTAGTATTTCCCAAAAAATATTTATTTTCAAGAATTTATACTAGCAATAATATAGAATCTATGACAATGTGGTTTTCAGTTTTCACCACAGATACGTATGATCCACCGACTACAGTTATCACAGATTTGAAGAGGCTAGATTGAACTTGATTGCTGGAATCAAGAAATAATGTAAATGTCAACTGTCGAGTCTGTCCATGGATGAGAGAAAAAGCAGACAATTTACTTAGGCCCAACACAATTTTTTTTGAATGACTACTATTGTCCAAAATTTAAAATACTCAAAAAGCCAGACAATGTTAGATTTTAAAGTGAAGGCTCTGCCAGGTGGTGGGCATAAAGACAAATATGATGACATATCCTGCTTGTGTCAGATGTTTGGTAACTTTAGTTTAAGATTAGATTACTGGAACACAGATTCCAAAACAATGTTAGGAAAAGTTAATCATTCAAAGTTATATCTTAAAAATGGACAAAGGTTGGAAAACATATCAAATCCTTAGCACGCTAGTCGGGAAGATATGAGCCAACAATAAGGTGCCTTGCAAGATAGTCTTGGGATTCCCATTTCCATAGAATAATGAGAGCATATCTGAAATAAAACTGGGGTTTTATGGCACTTACAGTGTACTTGGCCTCAATGTCTCAGAACTGATATTCTCCTTCCCTTTATCAGGGAGGGGAAAAAAGCACTATGCAATCTAAAACCATCTCTATCAATTGGACCGGACGGAATATGTGCCTACTTCTTAAAAAAGCTATCCACTGCCATAGCCAAACCTCTAAGCATAATCTTTGAAAAATCTGTCAGGACCAGCTCCTTGCCAAAACTATGGTCACAAGCCACGGTCATTTCCATCTTCAAAAAGGGAGAGCCCAGCCTAGTTGAAAATTACAGACCAATCTCTTTATGCTGCGTCACCTGTAAAGTCATAGATTCAATTATTAACCAATCCATTATCCTCCACTTAGAGACAAGCAACCTATTCTCTAATAAACAATTTGGTTTCAGAAAAAAACTATCCTGTAATCTGCAACTCTTACACTGCAAAAACATATGGACTACACAACTCGATCAGGGCAAAGCAATAGATGCAATCTACATAGACTTCTGTAAAGTCTTTGATTCAGTGGTGCACGACAAACTACTCCTAAAACTAAAATCTTATGGTATCTCTGGACAACTGCATAACTGGATAGAAGCATTCCTGTCACACAGACAACAAATGGTTAAAATTGGGAGCGTCCTATCAAATTCTGTACCTGTCAACAGTGGTGTCCCCCAAGGCAGTGTTCTAGGACCAACTCTCTTCATACTCTACATAAATGACCTCTGTGATCATATTAAGAGAAACTGTGCTCTCTTCGCTGATGATGTAAAGCTATTCAACACCACAGACAATACTGCTACCCTTCAAAAAGACCTCAACTATGTATCAGAATGGTCAAACAAATGGCAACTTCAAATCTCAACAAATAAATACTCTGTCTTACATATTGGCAAAAATAATCAGAAAATAAAATACAGGCTGAATAATCAAGACCTTGTTGATGATCGAAACTCTGTCAGGGATCTTGGAGTACTCATCTCAAATGATCTAAGTGCTAGAGCCCACTGTAACTACATAGCCAAAAAGGCATTAAGAGTTGTTAACCTAATCTTACGTAGCTTTTTCTCTGGTAATATTACACTACTAACTAGAGCATACAAAACATTTGCTAGAGCAATACTCGAATAAGCTCATCAGTCTGGAACCCACATTACGTATCTGATATTAACACAGTTGAGAAAGTCCAGAAATATTTCACAAGAAGAGTTCTCCACTCCTCTACTCGTTGCAGAATACCTTATGCCACCAGACTTGAAATTCTAGACCTAGAAAACCTAGAACTATGTTTATACTTATACCTATTATCTTATAAGCTTTTGACAAATCAAATCAAATCAATCAATCAATAAAGTAATGCCTGCAGCTTGGGTACAACTAAGGCTGATGTCCCATCTCACTAAAAAGGTTGTGTGAAAGTTTCAATTGACCAAAGCCAATTTGGGCGATTTTCCAATGGTGATGAAAGGTTTGCGCTAAATTGCCAAGTTCAGAGGTCAGTATCTATATAGCCCACTTGGTAATGATCATCACATATGGAAGATTGTAACTGGGAAGGTAAGAAGACTGCATGAATCAGGAGGGGAAAAAAGGGATGTGTACTTTTGTATTCACGATGCCATGTTGTTGATTGAGAATCCATTTTATTGGTATGTAATGTTACATATAAATGATATGATGGAAAACATCGAACACCAAGGTTAAGTTAAGTTCTGCAGGAAGAATATGGAGAGACAGAATGATGAAAGTGATCTCATGGTGACATGATGTAAACCCCATTGCTTTTGCATGTGGATCACAACAGTGCATGCAAGTGCTAAAGAGGCCAAGTTTGCTATACTGGGTGATGTCATGACATTCTGATAAAAGCAATGAATAGAATAGAATAACAAGAGTTGGAAGGGATCTTGGAGGTCTTCTAATTCAACCCCCTGCTCAGGCAGGAAAACAGTGAACAATTGCAAATTATACATAAATAAATGACAACTTGAGCACATAGATGAATTTCTGTTCTGATTGCTTATGGCAGGAAATGGACAGGCAGATTTTAAGATGAACAAGTGCTAAAAGGTAGTGAATAATAATTTGGTCTGTTTGAAGGAATGCTTATTGAAAGAAGTGAAAATATATGTACAGTGCATGAACATTTCTGCCTGCTTATATTAAAAATGAATATTTGACGGGAGAAATAAAAAATTGAATGGAATATTTCAGTTTGTGTAGTAAAAAAAAAAGAGTTATAAAGGGTACTTACTACATACAGTATATATGGACTGAGTTCCGAAATGGATGAAAGTATTAAAGAAATATATTGAGGTGATTTAATAATAGGCAATGAAGCACAAAAGAAATGTATAAAGGAAAAGGGAGGACCAATAAAGATGTAGCTGAATGGAGTTGACATGAACAATTTGAACTCCTTGAACTTGAAAAGTGGCCAAGGATCTTGGGACTGGTTCAGCCAACTGCTCTTTAGATCCATGCCCTCCTGGCTTGTTAAAACAGCTCAGGAGATGTTGTGTGAGTAGGTTATAGCTGTGGCTAACCTCAATAAAATAATTAGTTTCATGTATGACAAAGTATCACTCTATCATTTTAGGGAAGCATAGGACAGCATAATTTGAAAAGCCTGGATTTTCCCTTTAAACTCCATGGTACATTTTGCTAATAGTAATATCAAGAATATATACTGCAGAATTAAGGAAGAACACGCCCTTAAAAAGTAACTGCATTCTTGTATCAAATCCATAATTCTATGATACATATAATTTAAGCTTAGTAATCACCCTAAATCAGATTATTATACAAAATAAGGTTATTAATACTTTTGCAAATATATTCTTTTAATAACTTCAGATAAATAATTACATGGAAAAACGCTTGTACATTTTATATTTTTATTTTTAAAAATCAAGAAATAATTCCTGTATCACTTGCAAAGTTTACATTCAGTAACTTGATAATATTCTTATAAGCAAGAGCATATATTACAAATGTTAATGATTTGATCTCTTAAAAATAAATCACATACAAATTATGATATAAAGTAAAGAAAGCTTATTGATATGTATTTTATCTATCTTTGTGCATAATATAAAAGGGATTAGGAAACATGAGGCCAATCCAAACTTGACATTATCGTATTATAACAAAATCATATTGAAATCAATGCAATTTAGTTCCAAGTAATAGTTAGAATAAGATATATAAAAATATTGACTGACAGTGATGAATTTGGAACTTAGAATTACAGAGTTTAAAAAAAAACACATTAAGGCTATTAAGTCCAAATCCTTGCCTGGTGCTGGAATCCAAATTAAACCATATCTGACAGATGGCTCTCTGCATGAACACATCAAGCAGATGAGAGCCCCACTTTCATTTCATTGGTTCCACTGTCAAACTAGTATTGATTCCTTCCTTCCTTCCTTCCTTCCTTCCTTCCTTCCTTCCTTCCTTCCTTCCTTCCTTCCTTCCTTCCTTCCTTCATTCATTGATTCATTCATTGATTGATTGATATAGCTACCCATCTCACACACAAAAAAAATTAACAATGAAACTATAAAACAGTAATATATTAAAAATAATTACTGAGAAAATTCTAAAAAACACGATTAAAGGTTAAGAGAAGGCAGCAGATATCAATAACAGTAGAGCCACCTAGGAATGTGTTTACAACACTTAATGGGAACCTGCCCCTCTATATCTTAAATCAGTTACTATTTAATTAAATCCACTAAGAGAAAGAACAGTCTTGATCTTCGTTCCACATGGCATCCTTTCAGGTATATGAATAGGGTTATTATATCCCCCCCCCTTTTCTTAAGGAAATCACACCCACCTTCTTCAATCTGTCTTCAAAAATCTTAGATTCTCATCCTATGATCACCTTTATTAAACTTCTCTGAACCTGTTTAAACTTCTCTGAAACTTTAAAGTGTGCTGCTCACTCACAGCACTGAGCCAGACAAAAAAAAGAGTGGATCCCATGATTTGGAAATTATATGTCAGCTTGATGTAGTCTAAAATTGCATTTCTCTTCTTTGCAGCACATCACATTGATGGCTCATACTTTGTTTTACCTCTCATAAGCTTTCCATAATCATTATGTATTAATTACTATAAAGAGTTGAACTAGAACATATGTTTTTGACTCAATTCTAGAAAGCAGTAAATCATTTATTTATCACCAATACAACTGCATTTAAAATGTTACAGAAAGTATTACTAGATGAAAGATAGAAAATTTTCATTAGAAAGATAACAGCTTCAAAAAATATATTGAAAAGATGTCAAGAATGCATTTCCATTTGGAAATTTCTATCACCACATTATCTTGTAGACATGATCTCCAACCTTAAGTGTTCCTGTTTTATCAACTCCAAAGTACCATCCAAACAAAGGGCTTGATTTGTATATATGCTTTTCAGAAGGCTCACACAAGCGGTAACTATTAGAAAAAATAATATGGTCATAATGAATTACTCACAAAATAGTTAATCAGATAACATTTTATTATAACAAACTAACAAACATAAGTTTCCTACATGCCTGAAATTCCAAATTGTTACAAAATTTCACAATCACATAGTAACAACTATTTTGAAAGCTTAAAATTAAAGCTGAAACATAAACATAATTGTTTGGACTATTGTTAAACTGAATTCAGTGGGACTTCAGTATAACATACATCCTTAAAACTTGCACTGTACTTGAAATCATATTTTCATTTCTTTAAATTGAATAATATTTATTTCAATTATTAAGATTAAGAATATTAAAGAGGGAAACTAAGTAAGACAACTGAAACACTGAAGATGCACTACCTATCCTGGGACACGTATATTCGCCTTCATTCATGAAATGCCTAATTTTATTAATGGACTCTGGGGTAGTAAAAATTCACAAAACAAGGAAATTTTGCTATTGCATTTGTTCCAGTTTATCCAACCTGCTTCCTCCAGGCATACTGGGAATATAACTGCCAGCCAGGAAGCTGCGATCTCCTCTCATTTGGAGGGTACCAGTTTGTGGAAGGCTGTTCTCAATAACATTTTAGCCCTCCCAAACGTGCAAAGACATTTGAAAAAAACCACAATCATGCACATTTTGTGTGTGTGTGTGTGTGTGTGTGTGTGCGTGCACGCACGCCTTCAAATCAGTCTTAGTTCCTGGCAACTGCCTGGAGAAATTCCCGCAAGGGGGGGGGGGGCAACATTTTTTGGAATTGGTTTGCCATTGCCTCCATTCTAGGGCTGAAAGTGTGTAACTGGACCAAGATCACCTAACTGCTTTGGGGCTAAGATGGGACTAGAATTCACAGCCTCCCAGTTTCTAGCCTAATACCTAAACTACACCAAACTGGCTTTCATTAATTGTACTGAAGATGCCAAAATATTTTATTACCTTTTCAAAGTATTAAGAGGTTCTTTTCTGTCTATGATGCCGGTATCTGGATCAACTGTTGTAACAATACACCTACAATGAAAAAAGAGGAATGAGGTAACAACAGCCTTAAATTACTTCCAGCCATGAAATACAATAACAAAAAAGGCATACCTGGGACAGGCCACTGCCCCTCTCATTTGTGCACTTCCAATAATAATATCATTCCAGGTGTCCTACAAAAATATAATGGTTTGAGTATTTTATTTCTTATATAATCCAAGGCAATTCAACTTGCTCATATGAATTTTGCATCATGAGCTTTCTGACATGAATGTAAATGTTATAAAAGAGACCAATAAATAATACTTCTAAGTGATGTATTTCATAGATGAAAGTCAGATTATGTTCCCTCTTTTGAGTTTTAACTATTCAATGTTATAGAATTTTATATATAGTCTGAAAATAAAGTGATACACCTGATAGTAACTTAATATTTGTACTGTACATTATAACTACTTACACTTCTATCTGCAAAACATTAGTCAAGCTTTGCTACTTACACAACCTGAAATTCTGTTTCGTAAATGGTGTTTGCTTACCTATTTGAGGCAATTTCATTTGGAACATACCTGCAGAAAGTATGGGGACAGTTCCTACCTTTTTCAATCCTCTGCACCAGGTCCCCGATTCTCAGGAAGTCTCCTAACCCAGGGTTCCCTAACCCCTGGGCTGTGGCCCACTACTGGGCGGTGGCCTGTTTGAAACTGCGCTGCGTAAGCGATGGGTGAGTACACGTGTGCAGCTCCACTTGCGCAAGTGGCAGGCGCTTGGGCTTACGTGTAAAGCTCCATTTGTGCTCGCACTGAGTGCCTGCCATTCACACAGAACCATCCTCTCTCCCCCTCCCCTGCCAGGCTGCCAAGCCAGAAAGCTTGGGGACTGTTGTCCTAACTTTCCAGAGGTGGATTTTTGATGAAGGACCTTGGGAAAATAGAGGAACCAAGAAAAAAGCCATGCCGGATCAGAAGACTTCTACAAGTCTGCCAGCAAAGAAGCAGACTTTGAAATTATATATTTGTCTATACATAAGTGAAAGAAAACACAGTATGATAAATATGCCTGGTTGATGTAGGAATCTCACCATTAATGCTGTGGTAATTTCTCCAAATATTCCTTTTTGCTACATATTAAGATGACAATATTATTTTTTGAATGAATATTATTTACAAAAACTAACCTTTAACCTAATCTAAGGCTTTAGAAACCTGGAACTCTAGCTTTCCTCACAAGTTCTTTGGTTTTCTCCCAAAAACGGGATGCTTCGTGTATTTTTAGGCGTTTATTATTCAGTATAAGTAAATTAGGCATCTTACTGCATGGCTACATTGTGCATTTTATGTTTTAATACTGATATGCAGGTATGATTTCACCTTGAACCTAGAAATCCATTGTGATCAAATAAAGAGCAGATTGATTATTTCCACTTGCCAGGGGAAATAATTGACATAAGAAATTTTTGTTGAAGAAAATGATTTAAAAAATATTCTATTCAGCAAGGTTAGCTTTATTATTTTTACCCACAGTAGATAACCTCATCCCTTCAATAAATTTAGGAATATATTAAAGAAAGAAAAGCTTCCTTTCACTGCAAAGACAACTGGCAATAGTATAAACTTTTCCCCAATTTAGTGCCTGCTGTCAGGTTTCCAAGTAATGAAATCCATGTTAAGAGAAAAATAACAAAGTGCATCTTCAAAAAGATTTCTTTTATTTAGGAAAACATCAAATTGGCAAAGTCCATGGTAATTCCGGATCTGGCCCAACCCGGAATTACCCCATAATATTAGAATTTAGAAACAACCCCCCAAAGTCACATTCTCCAATAGAAGTAATTCAACGTTGCTTGATGTCATAAATCTCCACCTGAGGGGGAGGGGGGCAGGCTACAGCTCATTTCCTACAGGAAAGGAGATCACCTAACCCAAACACCTCTCTTTATCTCCACTCCTCCCACCTTAGGAATGTGTCAAGCCCACAACTTCTCCCCCCCATGACTACCACAGGGAAAATAAGAAAAAGAATATACACTAAGACAAACTAAAATGGCTAACTTATGACAATTTCAGGCTTGACACCTGCATTTTCTAAACGTCCAGCCAACTTCCTGGCTGACTCATGTGAGAAGTACAAGTTTAAAAATGTTTTATTAAACAGTTACATGCAAAATTATTCTATATGTAAACTAAAAAGTTACGCCCTACCTTACCTCCTCATTAGGACCACAACCAGTGACCAAAATGCTTGGCCTGAAGTTACGTATTTGAACTTTCTTCTCCAGTCTGGAATTAAGCTCTTCCAAAGAAGCTTCAGAGAGGAGCATGATAGGGCTACAGTCAGAATAGGCAATCTGGAGAAGTACATTCCATAAACGAACAATGTCAAAACGTTTACACAAAATACAAAGAGATAGTCTGTACCACAAAAAGAAGCAGCCCTGAAATAACTGTCTGTAGGGGGAGGGGGCGTCCTTGTTTAACAAGCACTTGTTCAACAATCATTCAAGGTTATGATAGCTTTGAACAAATGATAGTTAAGGTAAGTCCTTGGAGTTCCTGCTACTGCAGGAACTATGATCCAGGCATGTGGCTCAACATTATGTCGCAGTGAGCTATGGTCACATGATTCTAATTTCCACTGTTCCCTGACAGCTTCCCATAAGCTAAATCAAATGGGGAAGGCAGCAGAAAGTCAGATGTCGCTGTCATGTGAGGTCCTTGCTTAAGGACAATCAGAACTCCCATCACTTAGCAGCATAGTCATATCACATTGTGGTTTAGCAATGGTAATTCCAATCCCAATTGCCATGGCTAACCAAGGACTATTTGTGATATCTGGTAGCCTCATTAAATGATGTGTTAAAATATCTGATCACAGCCATTTGCTGAAGAAAAAGTAGATTGGTCACATGATAATCAAATATATTCAGGTTTTACAACAAAGAACCCACCCAGCCACTACTTGGAAACTGATTACGAAGGCTGCTCTCCTTGCAAAGGGATCTCCCACACAGTGGTAC